TGATTTGCTAGGGCAACCTGCGTAACGACTGCCTCGTCAGTGAACATACGACAGATATGAAGCCCTTTCCTAAGGATTACTGTTAATTAGGTGGGTGAATATAAAGGACATTTCACTGTATTTCTGGGGCCTTTTGGAGTGCCTGCACATTAGTCCTTGAGGACTTTGTTAAATTCCAGTGTGGAATGTTGCATACCACCCAATCCCTCCCCTAACACAACCCACAGCAGAGCCTGCAGTAATTCCAACAGCAGTGCTGTCAGGCTCACTGCCCACCAGACGGTACGGTTGTTATTAAGCGCTCCAGTGCTGTGTAAAATGTAAAGTGCCACATGACTGCTGTACTTCCTCTGGCTATTTTACCTGCTCCAAAGAAACCAAAGACTACCTGCCATATTCTGAACATTTTTTGCAGGGATACATTTTGGGAAGGGAAGAAAACGAAATAAGCTACCTGAAGGAGTTCCTCTAATCACTTGATCTCTAACGGGGATCAAAGTCATGCTCCTAAAGCAGATGAGGGGCTGGTTAAAATCAAATCACACTGCCCTTCCTAATTTCACAGCATGCAGCTTTTGCACACTGTTTAAGCACTCCATGAATCCTGTAGCACACGCAGCTCAGACTTGTTCTGTCTGAATTAAGTTTCCCACTCACAGCATGTAAAATAGTATCATGTGTAGGATCTGCACATCAAGTAATAAGGCCAAGATGGAAACCACCCACTTACTGAGCTGGGCTGATGGTCTGATCACAGAGTAAAGGTAACTATGGCGTTCACAGATCACCTCTCCTAATTAATCAGTGATCTCTATCTTATTCCTACTAGAAAGACAACCACCATCACAGGCAACTATCACAGCAAACACATGAACACCGATTCATGCAAAACGTTGAAAAATAAAATACTAAAATGAAAGGTGGGGGGGGAGGGAAATAATTTAAAAAGACTGCTCTTACCTTTATTTTGCAAGATGAAAGACGAAATGATACGGTCCCACTCCTCGTTCTTTGTATCTAATAACACTAAGACCAGGTCAAATCTGCTCAGCAGGGGACTGCCAAGAGCTATGTTGACAGAGACAGACTCGGTAGGATCATAATGGCCTTTGGGGTTTGTTGCTGCCAGTATGGTTGTCCTTGTATTAAGCTTACATACCAAACTAGAGAGAAGTAAGATGAACAGCTGAATTAAGCTGGGAAAGGTAAACGATTCCAAAGTGTTAAGAACAAATACCATGTTTTTATGTTATAAAGACCACATCTTACCTTCAAAGAGTGCTAAGAGCTAATCAATACATATAATTGTTGTAGTAATGAATATTACACACAAAGCTTTTCTCAGTCAGAGAGAATAGCAACTAAAGACTGTACTCAGCACATCAAAAGTAGCTAGGCAATATTCCCACAAGTCATTTTTCTATACAGCTGGATCCTTAGCTGATTAAAGTTAACATAGCTTTTCAGAAACAAATGTTACTTTGTGCATTCCTACGGTACATTTTTTTCACAATTAAAGGTAAATTTTGTCTTAATTCACATTTTAAGAAAGCAAAATAAAATGGAGCATATGTTTTATTCCTGTCTGTAATCATATTTTGGATATTAACCCAGTCAAACAGCGATGGCAGCCATATCAACTCTATTTCCAGGGTAACTGAGATTTTTCTCTCTTAACAATACTCACCTAGTCTGTGTTATTAAATGTGGGGCAATGTAACTATTTCAGTTAAGGAAGCAGTTATTCTACCTTTACTTTGACACCAAGCTAGAATTTTAAAGGTAAAAGGTAAAGTTGTGGTTTGTGGTCTTCAAAACTCAAACAACCGCAACAAGGAACCCAACTAAAATACATCACTATCTCATCACGCAGAAATACTGCATTGTTTCCAACCATTTATCCCCATCTGCACTGCTGACAAAAAGGCTGACACTTCCCCACATGAGGAGAACATGATCTATCCACTTTCTGCCTAGTATTTTTGCAAGGGCTGCATCAAAATTGGTTTGGGTGAAAAAGTATGAGTGAATGCATTTTTAAGAATGCATAAACTGAGCAAATTCATGCATACTTTCGATACACAGCACACTATAACACAGTATATAACATAAGGAAAAGGTGATGCATTAGATGTCATACAGGCAACAGGAAATGTTGAGCAAAATCCCAAAAGAGAATGCAACAGACAGGAAGGGAAGAGGAGGTGAGTTGTAAAGTGGAAAAAATGGCAAGAGCACAAGAGGCTGGAGAAAGATTCAGTGCAGATGCCCGGAAAAAGAAAGGACATGATCAACTAGAGGATACAAGAAGATGCGATGGGAGCAAGACCAGAGTGGATGGGAACAAGGACAGATGTGGAAAGGATGGTGCCTTCTGAGTAGCAGACTTCACTAATATCAGCCAGGGGATGATCTGGGCCCAGACATGAGCAGCTCATAGCTGAGAGAAAGAGGTTTGAACTCAGAGATCGAACTGGCAGAGTAAGAAGCAGCAGATTTGAATAGATACTGGTTTAAAAAGAGTGGACATGAACGCAAGTAGGAATTTATATTCATGCCTTGCCCAACATAAAAGTTGGAGCAGTCTGGAAATCCAGTATTATTAGATATTGGAGAAAAGAAATCCTGCTTTATGAGTTCCAATACTAACTTCACTAGGTTCCTCATTTCACATACAATTATTATGATAGCTCCCACAAAATGACAAGAACACAGTTTTTAGGAAAGAGTCCTTGTCTAAGCGCAGCAGTAGACTGAAAATCCGGAAGTTATGGGCCCTGGGCAGCCTGATCTAGTATTAGGTATGGAGACTGGCGGCCCTGCCTATGGCATGGAGGTTGGAGCTTGATGATCCTTGTGGTCTCTTCCAACCCAGGCCATTCTATGATATGATTCTATGATAAGTGAACGAGGTATGTCTATGAAATGTCAGTTCACCTTGTTGACCAATATCACTGAGAACAAAACTATGTAGTACAATAAAGAAAACAGCTGTAATCTGTTAGCATGAAAAGCATCTCTTCAATTTGTAAGTGTACGAGAAACATTATTTTGTCACATATGTTAACATGCCACTTACCCTGCTTTTGCTACACTGATGGTTTGTTGCTCCATTGCTTCATGGATACTGGTTCTGTCATGTTCTTTGATGCTATTGAACTCATCAATACAACAAAGGCCTCCATCTGCAAGCACCAGTGCTCCAGCTTCCAAGTTCCACTCCCCAAAGTCCTTCACAGCAGTCACTGTCAAACCTGAAGAATCAATTATTCCAGTCAGTCTTTTTCTCAGATTCAGGAGCAAACTAGAGTGAAAGAATGGGACATGGCACGCTGGCTTGTGCCACAGACAGAAGGAGAAACAGCAGGCTAACTCCACCACATATCACTACCATGCATCTCATTTACACTTGCTGGTAAAAAATCCCACCAGTGTTATGCAGGTTAGCCCTGATCTGTAGAGCAGATTCTGCTAAGCTTTCCAAACTTAGTAATTCCTTATTAACAAGGGTGAAAAAATCAAATCTGCTAGATTAAATTGAAAACTGGGGTGACTGCAAAGCCCACAAATTTACGGAATGGATGCATTCAGCTCTCCTTACCCACCAACTGCTTAAATAGACAAATATTCCAGAGCTGAAGAATAAAGCTTAGAAAAAATAAATAGATTCAAAATGAAATGAACAAAATGAAATGAACAAAATAAGTTTCCAGCAGGCATCTGAATGTGCACAGTGACACTGGGAGCACGGAAGGTCAGAAACATTTCAAAGCTGTGATAACGGCTGCTCACTATCAAGTATATGCAGCTCTTTTCCATTTTCCTAGTCCCTACTTCCCAGTCTTTTCTCTATCTTTAGCCCTTCTTTTTCACTACAAAGTGCTCTGCTCAAAATATCCTGGTAGCTGACAGGCTGCTGCTAGCCTGAAGCCTTCTGAAACGCTACAGCAAAGCTTGCCCAACGATCTCCCCACCCAGCACTTCCCATGTCCCAGGGAAGATGCTGCTGCCTGCTCATCTCTATGCAGATCAGTCAGAAGTTATTGGCAATATACGTTTCTTGATAGTAATTTTAGCTTGTTGTGAGGAACCTCTTCTACTGTGCCCAATCTGGCCTTGTGTCTGACATGAAGAATGCTAAAAACGTACACTGAGCAACAGATGAGGCAACTATCAGATGGTGACACTTCTTTGTAAATACAGAAACGCAATTCCCTTTCCAAACCCAGCAGTGGTTTAGAGGACCATTAAGAACTGACGGCCTCAGTGCTGCTCTCACTGCAGACATGGCAGACTCTGCTCCTCACCTGCACGGCTCAGGCAAGATGTCTGCTCCACACCTTCCTGCTGCACACTCAAGGGTTCCCTGCAGGCACGATTACTGCCCGACCGCATTATTTATTTCCTCGGGGAATCGCTTCTCGCGTTGAGAAAAAATACCTCACACCCCCAGCCCCTGGCATGGCTCTCCCCAGCGCGGCGGCAGTCGATGACATGTCACCGCTGCCATCCCCGCACACGGCAGCCTAAAATGGCCTCCTCCCCGGGCCGCCTGTGCTCGGGGCGCGCGGCGCCGCCGGAGGCCCTTCATTACAGCACAGCCACGGGATGACGGTTTTTAGGAGGCCGCTCACACAGCGGCCCCAGTGGGGCTGCACGGCGCGGCTGGCGCGGGCTCGGCCGGGCAGCCCCCCAGCCAGCACGTAGCGCCTGACACGTCAGGCTCGCAGAAAGATTTAAACAAGCAATAATAATAACAATAATCCCCGGACAAACAAAACCAGCGAGCCCACAGCACATGGCGGAAACCCACGCGCGAGCAGAGGCGCGGTCTACGGCAGCTGGGGCCGCCCCCCGGCTCCGCGCTCGGCCCCGCCCGCTCGGGCCGGCCCCTCTCGTGCCGCTCGGCCGTTGGCCGGCGGCTGGAGGACGGTTTGGCGGCGGTGGCGGGCGCTGGCCGGGCGGGGGCGCCGAGCCGCGCGGCGGGGCCGGGCGGGCGCAGGAGCCTGTCTTGCCGCCGCTCGGCGGTCGGCTCGGCTCCGCTCGGCTCGGGGAGGAGGGCCCTAGCCCAGCGCGCGGCCAATCCGGGCGGCCGCTGGCGGCGAGCAGGGCAGAATGGGCCGTAGTTGAGTGAAATAGGAAAGCTGCGAACAGTGTGGAGTGCTCCCGGTGTAAATAAAAGGGGGGAAGAAAAGTTTCCCCGAGTCGCGGCTCTGCAGCCTCGCTCCGACGGGGGCGCGGGGCTTCGTGCGCGGCGGAGATCACCGCTCGGGACTTTGCCGTGCGGCGTTCACGCGCTCCTCCTATTGTGTTTTTTTCAAAATATGGCAAAGGTTCAGGTGAACAATGTAGTGGTGTTGGACAACCCTTCTCCTTTCTACAACCCTTTCCAGTTCGAAATCACATTTGAGTGCATAGAGGACCTGTCGGAAGGTGAGTACCGCTCTCCGGACGCGGGTTCCGCGGCCCCGGGCCGTCGGATGCGGGGCCGTGTGGGCTCCCCTCGGCCCGGGCCTGCTCCCGCCGCCGCACGGCTCTCCTCCCCGCAGAGCCGTGCCGCCACGCGGGGATGCGGGGCTCCGGCAGGGCCGACCGGCCCGAGCCCGGCGGGGAAAGTTAGCGGCGGAGCCCTCGCTCCGGGCTCTCGGCTCCGGGGCCGCCGCTCCGCTTCGCTCCCCGCCGCGCCATCGTTGAGGCCGCCTTCAAGTTGCGAGGAACTTGTTAGAGTGGTGGTAGCCATGTTGCCAGCTTTGTGTGTGCGTGGGGGGGCAGAGCGGGAGCGGGCGGACGGGCAGGGCGCCGCGCGGCCCCGCGACGCGGGAGCGGAACTGTTGCGCGGTCGCAGCACTGTGCCCCGGCAGTACCCGCAGCGCGGAAAGCGTTTCGGAGCGAGCGGTGCGGGGCCTCGCGCTCCATTTTCACACTTTAAAAAAAAAAGGGAAAAAAAAAAAAAAAGAAAAAAAAAAAAAGGAACGGGAGGCAGGGCGGGCAGGCGGCTCTCGGTGGGCGCAATGCTCGGGGCCCGGCGGGTGGCGGTCCGGGGGCGCCGAGCCGTGCCGGGAGGAGGGGGAGGCGGCAGCCACTATTTTTGGAAGTCACTCGAAAGTTACCGGCTGCCGCCGGGGGAGGCGGCCCGGCGCCGCCCTGCACGCCGCCCCGCGGGGACCCCGGAGCGGGCGACGCGGCTAAGAGCCCCTTCTCGGCCAGGCTCACGCCTTCCCGTCTGCCCGACGGGCTGCGAGCGGCTCCCGGCCCGGTCTGGCCCGGCTCGCTCCGCAGCGTTGTTTCCTTGCCGCCGGCAGGCCGCGCCGCGCCTCTCCGCGGGAGGCGCCCCGAGAGTCCGCGCGGGAACCCCCGGGCGGGAGATTCGAACGCGGCGGCGCACGGCGAAGGAAACTGCGGGCTGCGCGGCGGCCCCGAGCGGGGGCGGAGGCCGCTACGCCGGAGCTGCCCGGGAACAGGTGCCGCTACCGGCCTGGCCCCGGTGGGGCCCAGTGCCGCCTGCTAGCCGGGGAGCCCGAGAAAGCGGCGGGAGGCAGAGAGGGAAACTTACGGAAATGGAGACTGGGGACGTTTCTGTCCCTGTTTGCCTCTCTCGGCACGGGTTTCTGCCACTGTTAGAGGCAGTGGCAGACACTGAGGGTTGGCGGTGCTGTCAGGAACTTTGAGAAAGTCCTGTCTGCGTTTGGGTTTCCTCCAGGCCTCTTCCACCCATCCTGAAACTAATCAGCATCTCAGCTCGAGCAGCCTGCACCAGTGAGCTAAGTATCCACCCTGATGCCTGTGGCTGCTTCTCCCTGCCTCGGGCAGTCAGGGCTCACTCGGGACAGCAGCACCTGAATTCTCACACCGTGTGGCACGCAGCAGTGCCCCCAGCAGAACAGGACAGGGCATCACCGTGCCTTTCCTTCGTTGTGTGACTGCTCCTCACTGTGTGCATTTAACACTGTGGTTAAATCTGGATGGTCAGATCGCTAATTAGCGGTGGCCCAGTTCAAAATTCTCAGTTCCCTCATCTGATAAAGGTTAGACTACAGGATACAGTTAGGGTAAGCACTGCTATTTTTCACGCTTAAAAATGAGATTAAATAGCTTTTTCCAAAAGAATGAATTGCTGTCATTTCCTTAGCATTTGTGTACTAATGTCCACTCTCCTGTTTACAGCCAGCCATGTGTACCACTTGTCTTAAAACTAAATTCTTTGAGTTCACTTCCCCCCATTTTTAAATTATTCCATGTCATCGTTACTCAGCAGTATCAGATCAAACTTTTAAAGGTATAAGTTATCTTTCAAAGGCATGTTTTTCAGTACTAAGTATTACTGGTTTAGAATGAGCAAGTGATGGTATAATAGCCTTAAATGATCTAGCCTATAAGTCCTCACTCCTTGTACACAGCAAACTGCATAGACTCCAACAAAAGGTCATCAGCTGACCCAACGAGCGCCTGCAGTACCCAACTAGCTAACACTTTTGGGGTGCTTTTGGGGTAAACAGAACCTCTGATGCAGAACCTGGTCAGTTATGCTGTGCTGTTTGAAGGGTTACAATTTCATTAATGAGGAAAAACAGTTGCAATCCAGAATACTGGAGACAATCCTGCAGGCTGAGGAAATTCTCATTGCATGTCCTAATGAGTAAATGGACCCTGCCTGGTATAGAACAACCACAGCTTAACCTGCCTATGAAAATAGTGGGACTCCTGCAGTACTGACTGACTAGAGAAAGGTGGTGGGATGGTTTAGTTCATGAGGGCTGGGGAGAGCATCATCTTCCTCCCCCTGATGAAGGCAAGTTTCATATCCTTTATACCAGTTGCCAAAGAAACAATTTTAAACTAAGCAAAATCATAGACAGTCAAGAGTAGAAGACCCTTAACTATAATGATAAATAATGTTTGTTATTTAATTCTTGTTTTGCAGATTTGGAATGGAAGATAATTTATGTGGGTTCAGCTGAAAGTGAGGAGTATGACCAAGTATTAGACTCTGTTTTAGTAGGACCTGTTCCTGCAGGCAGACACATGTTTGTATTTCAGGTAAGTTTTGAATTAACTGTTTCTAAAGGAATTACGTTATTTTGATCCTTAAAAATGACAGGGTTGCCACTCACTAGATCAGGCTCATAGTGTAAGTCTCAATTACTTGAAAACTTCAGGTTCTGAAACTTTCAAATGAAGAATTATTTTCCCCTGCCTTTCAGGACACACTGAAGGAATGAGTTTGGGTTGGAGGCTATGTTTATTAACCAATTATTTGTGCGAGTTGAAATGTTTCTGTTTTGTTTTGGAGCCCTATTTTTTTCCACACAGAAAATGAAGAAATGAAGAAAATGAAGCTGTTGATCTTGTTCATCATGTTCATAACAAATGCATTGTATGCCAGTAGTTCCTCTGTTATCAAAATGTGATATACTGCACTATTTTCAGTCAAGTTACAGAGAGTCATCGCTGACAATAACGGGGAGGAGCAGGGGGCAAGTGCCTAAAAAACTGTTGTGTTGTAATAGGAGGGGCTTGAAAATTGAATTTACTGGTCTTGCAGTTCCAGTAGAATGGACTCCTTTCCATTTTAAATGGATGTGAGTGTTTATAAATGACACTAAAGCTAAACTAGGAGTGGGCATGCAAGCATCTTGCTTACATTCGAATAGGTAAGAGACTGAGTTGGTGTGTTGTTATAAAGCGTCCCTTTTATTTCTAATTGAATTACTGTTGGTCTGAGTACATTAGACTTCAAAACCACTGGATTTCAGGTGAGGGTAGGATTTAGCTAATGTTTATGTAAGAGACTTATCAAAAACTGAACTGCTGTAGTAGGCTTTTGCTGGTGACTAAAGCTACTTTATTCACCAAACTAATACTGCCTGGGAGATGGAGAGAACAAGGGAAGGGCAGAATGGGGCACATTGCAGAGCTGCAGGAGGCATATACATAAACCAAAGAAGTGGTCTTTGTCAGGGTAACACAGCAAAAAGACCTTTGCAGAAACGCCTAAAATTTTCAGCTAATAATATGCTGTAGACAGAAATCACTGAAATAGCAAATAAAATAGAGTGTCACACATATAATACTGAGGGTGATAAAACTGCCTTTGTGAAAAAGGAGCTGTGTATCAGGTTGGTATGTTAGTCTTGCATACAGAAAGGTGGCAAACTGTTGTGCTTCTCAGACTTGGACAATTAAATTCTTAACATTTTAGAAGATTTCAATATTAAAGGCATACTGCCTTGCCTGTTTAGATTAAAATACCAAGACAGAGCTAATGAACCCTGATGCCTTCTCTCTCTCTATGCATTTGGGGATTTGTAGTAAATTCTTATGGAGATTATAAATTATTTATAATCTTACAGGGAGATATGACTGTACACTAGTTTAGCTACTCTAGTAATAGCTAAATGCATATCTGTTGTCTTATGTGGAAAAGCAAGATAATTCAATACAACATATGCATTGAGTGATTTCATAAAATCCTTAAATAATTATTAGCATGAGAATGGCACATGAAGACTGTGATTTTTTTATGTGGAAGTTAATCTTGCTACTTCTTTTTGCCTACCACAACATCTGTTTGCAACCACTCGTGTATCCCTGTATATGGCTACCTGTTCCCTAGGGAACTGGGAGGCTTTATATCCAAGGCAGGGAGTTAAACATTTGAGAAAAGATAGCAGATTGTTTTAAGAATCACTTTCAATGTCATTGCCACTCAACAAAACAGTAGTCAGTAGCTAAGTAAGACTAGAACAGTATTTTTGCAAGTTCACAGCTGTATCATATCATAACATATTATGGGACATGCAATGCCAGTGGCAGTCAGGAAGAGCTGAAATACCAAGTTAGGTGCTAGCTGAGTAGGGAATTAGGGAACTAAATGGAAGAGCGTACTTTTGCAGTGTATTATTCTGTAATTGCCTACTGTGGAATTTCAGGTGATCACATGGCCCTAGGCACTGAGTAGGATGACTGAATGTAGCAGATTCATATATTGGCAGTTCTTGTGTTTTCTTGTAGCCTCTATGCTTCTTTTCCTTGGCTGTTCCCCTGGACAAGCTATAAAGTCATTTGGTCACTGCATGCTCCCTTCAGGGCTGGGGGAGTCTACCCAGTTCCCTGGTGTATTTATACCCAAGAGGTCCAATTCATTTAATCGTTCTGTAAAGTGCCTGTAGCTTCTTATAAAAAGCCAGACTGGTTTGAAGGCTCAAAATTGAAGTAGCAAAGAGCAGAAGTCAATGATGCATGATTACTAGCTCCTGAATTTCACAGTGCTAGAGCATATAAATACTAGAGAAAAACAGGGATGAGACGGATAGCAAAAATTAATGCCATTCATCCTCTGTCTTAAGGCGGGATTCAATACAGCTGAACTATTCTAACATAATTAATACTAACTTATACTCAGAACAAAAGTGTTCATTATTAGCTTTGGACTTGCCATGCAAAATTGTAAACATGAGTCTTTTTCATTTATTCTTAAATTGCTGTTAGTCTAAATTTAGAGGAGGAGGTATCACATATTTATCACCAAGTGTTTGGTTAGAAAGCATTTTAAGAGACCAAGGTAAACTGCATTTTATGAAGTAACCTTTATTGATTATTAATAGTTACAGTACTACAGAAAGTAAGGATGCTAAGGAAAATTGTGTTAGTTGTCTATGAGGACTGTACACTGGCTCAAAATGTATGATGTCCCACAGTGGTCAGTGCATTTAACTACATGCATTTTAAGAAGCGTAGACATGTGGAAGCAGATGAGAGAAATAGTTTGTTCCTTTCCTAGACTTTTGGGGGATAGTCCAGACCTCACTGTAGCCTGTGGCTGCTTTTGCTGAAATACAAACTATAGTCTGTATTTGTAAGATGTTAGTCATGTTAAAAAATGCGTACAGCTCAAGTCAACCTAACAGGTATGGAAAGACATACTTCTACTGAACTACTAAGGTGGGCTAGAGAATAATGGCAGTGTAGAATTAGAGAGCTGTTGGCACACTTGTTCAAACAACAGCTCAGCTAATTATGTATTGAAAAGCAGTTTTGGATCAAAGCTGTCTAATCACCCTGGAGAATGTCAGCACACACTATTACTCTGTTGTAAGTAATTCCCTCTCTAGAGGGTACCATCCTAAATTCAGGGTTGGTTTTTTTATAAAAGCAGGTCTGCTTTCAGGTTAACTTGAAAGAAACATTTTAAATTTACATACATTCTCTGCTAAGTTTTGGGAGATACTACTTGAGATTGCCCTGCTAGACAGACGTACGGTGTTGATTTTACTCTAATAAATCTTTCCTTTTCTCATCTAGGCTGATGCTCCTAACCCAGGGCTTATTCCAGATGCAGATGCAGTAGGTGTAACAGTAGTGCTAATTACATGCACATATCGAGGTCAAGAATTTATTAGAGTAGGCTACTATGTAAACAACGAATATACTGAAACAGAACTGAGAGAGAATCCACCAGTAAAACCAGACTTTTCTAAGGTAAGGCACATTCAGTCTATCTATTGTATGCTTATAAAATATTTTTAAGAATCAAACTCCAAATGATCCTATAAATTACGTTTCAATAGCACAAAAAGACTGGGAGACAAAGTAGAAGTGAAGTACCATGTATTTGCCACAAATTTGGAGAACATTCAGAAATCAGTAACAATTTCTGCTAATTTGAAGCTTTGTTTGGATGTCAGTATGAGTTTATACTCCTGAAAAGAAATAGAGACTGGGTTCCTTCTACCTGAATTACTGTTGACAAAATGGCTCTGTTCTTCAAAAAAAAAACAAACTTTTCTATAGGACAGGAAATTGGGATCTGAAATTGAAGTTTTAACATGGTCCCTACACACCTATTCTGATTTTCTGCAAAGCAGAAACTGAAAAACAACTTACCTATGAAAAGAGAGAAGATGGGTAACCTGGTAAGAGCAGGTTGGATGACTGTTCAATTAGTGGACAACATGGCCAGAAGTTTATATTTTAACTTGAAAAACATAGTTACTTCCATGTTAAAAACTGAACCAGCAGTAGAATAAAAACGAGATGTGAAACAGAATTGTTTGGAGGAGAAAAGCCAATTAAACATCAAAAACTAGTCAGACCAACTCCTGTGGAACAAACACACAAAGTTCTGTACTGTATCCTGGCTTGCTTTAGTAAAAGATCTTGTGGAATTGGAGTCTTCTCTTTATGAAAGCTGATGTGTACACGTTCATGTCCACAGTGGTCATGATTAAAAAAAGAAATGGGCTATTTCTCAAGTTTATATGAATTATACAACTAGGTATATGAAGAACTGAGTGGAATAATGTATGTATTGTAATGACTACAGATATAATTCCCATAGTCTGAAACAGATCCTCAAACGTAACTTAATTAAAATGGTATGTAAACTGTTTTTTAAAAGTTGCTGATGATTTTTTATGCTTTACTTTATTTTCAAGGATCAGATGCTTTAAGTGTACTCAAAATTCACAGTTACTGTTAATTTTTGATTCTTAAACTTATAATCTGTTCCTTTTTATTTATTGTGTTATTGAAATCTTTTGTTATTTTTGGTGTGAATGCTAGAATAACTTTCTTTAAGCAACTGAATTTAGAAATATCTTGTCATAATTCTGTTGGTTTTTTTTTTTCTAAATATAAAAACTGCTTGCATGAAAAAGAACAGCAAAAGCTATCACATATTTGTACAAAACAGTCTTAATATGACTTCAGGGCAATGCGCAAATGTGCAAGAGGAACGTAAGGTCATTAAACACATTCAACTATTGTTGATGGGAAGCAGACCTACCAGGTCACCTTAGTCTGTATAAGGGGCTGGGAAATATTTAAAAAGAGCGCTTCCTTGAGGAGTAAAATAAACATTACTAACAAGGAAGACTTCTTCTATGACCAGTTTTAACTTTAATGAGATAAGGGGTCAGTTGTGATAACTTGCCATCCTTCAAAATTAACTGTATTCTTCAAAGACAAATAAAGGCCAACTATAAGAATAAAATGTGACTGGTCTCAAGGTGTGCCCACTACCAAATCAGAGTAATGTTTTTTCACTTTAAGATGAATCAAAAGCATAGCCATTTAATGTAAGGAAAAGCTTTTCTCTTAAATGAGGAGAAACAGTTGATGGAAGCAGTAAAATTATGGTAAACACCATGAAATTGATGCAGAATTTTATCAAGTCATGCGGCACACGGAATGTTTGTAGGAGTAGTTATTTGCTTTAATAAGCACTGCCTAAAGTAAAACCCTTGCACTTTACTTGCAAAGTTGTATAGTCTTGAATTCACAGAATGCTTAACTGCTTTCTTAGGAGGATGCTTTTATTTTGCTCGATTGGGTATTAAAGCAAATGGACTAGTGGTGTATTTCTGTAAGCATGTTTTTATCCATATGTAGTAGCTACAGATTTGCAATTACATTAACAAATTATTTTGCACATATATGGCTGCAGGAGTAAAAGGAAAAAACCTATATGAATGTGAATTCTGATTAGAGACACAAACACTGTATAATCCATTTCTTTTCTTCCCACCCAGCTTCAAAGGAATATTTTGGCGTCTAATCCCAGAGTCACAAGATTCCACATTAACTGGGAGGACAACACTGAAAAACTGGAAGATGCAGAGAGCAGTAACCCAAATCTACAGTCGCTGCTTTCTACAGATGCATTACCTTCAGCATCAAAAGGATGGTCAACATCAGAAAATTCATTAAATGTTATGTTAGAATCTCATATGGACTGCATGTGACTAACCACCATCGTTTTGGTACTGTACATGTATTAAACTGTAAAAACAACCAGAACTATTTCCCTCGGTTTCCCTAAGTATATAGTTGACAAGCAATGTGAAGAACTTGTTTTAAAACATCCTGTAGAAAAGTTTATAAAAAACAACAAAAAAAAAAAAACCAAAAAACAGTATTTGAGCAAATGGTGGAATATAAATACAACTATTTTTAAGTAATTGCTTTTTTTTCTCTAACTTGTTACTTTGTTGGTCTAAATTGAACCTTATTAAAGTATGCCTATTCTTCTCCCCTCCCCCTTTACTTTGTAAGCACTGATGAAAGCAAAAAACCCTGGAAGTTGAAATAGTCAGGCAAAATGAAGCAATAATGCTATGCTGTGTCCTTGTCTCTGATACCCAGATTGCCAAATATAAAGTGCCCTTTAATTAAACACCTGAAGAGCAAAGCTGTTATTAGAGAAAGTACAAAGACAAGTGTTTGCTGTTTTAAAAAAAAAAAAAAAAAAAGCCCCCAACTATCCTCTCTCTTTCTGTGGAAGTGGACAGCACAGTATAATTCTAGGTGCAAGCTTCTTTTCATTTCCAGACACACACTAGTTAAAGCATGCAATTTGAGATATACCATCTGTTATCTTCAGTTTTAGAACTTTTCTTAATCTCCTGCTGCTATTTAAACTGTTTTTTTGACAACAATGTTTCATATGGATTTAGGTGGGTATTTCATGAGAAAACCCTTTTGCAGCCACTGAATGGTATACATAGGTGGTTGGAAAGACTCAAGCAATTATTAGAAAATTTAATTGTCAAAAGGAATGGCATGAGCACCCCCCAGAAATGGCTCTTCTGCAAGATCGTTATGCACAGTTGCTGGTTCATACATTGATTTTTTCAAGTAGGCTACATTTTTTTTTATTTTAACTTATAGTAGCGAGTTCAGATGTTTTCTTTCAGTTTTTTGAAAGATCTGGAATTTAAAATATTTCAGTTTTTTGTTGCCCTTTAAGGGAAAATGATGCACTGGTATAAATTAAGATTCAGACCCTTTTGTGGCAGGCACTTCATACTCAAGAATGCACTGCCTATCCTGAAGGTGTTGCAGTGACACATTCCTTATTACCTGAGGCACCCTTGAAGATAAAAAAGAATGAGGCAGTGAACTGTAAAGACTTAAGACACTGTTATGACACTAACAATTCAGTTATTCTTTCTAATCCTTGTCAGCATTATAGGTTTACTGTGACTATAATATGCATTTAAAATTGTAATCTGTCATGTCAGATTACAGAAATAGTGTTCTGCTGGTTACTAGTAACCACACAAACTGTGAATAATCCTTGTAGGTTCCAGGCCCTTAAAATGGATGAATTTCATGATGACTTGGCAGAATAGCTCTGAATAAAAATAGAATGCTTTCTCTTCATTTTCTGCATTCTCTCATAAGGATGAAGATGTCCCAATCAGTTAGCATTTCTGTCTTTCTCACACAATTAGTACAATTGTCTTTAATTTAAAATGTATACTTTCAAACTGCAAAGGAAAGACCTGATGTGGATGTTACATGTGCATGTTTCTTTCTTGCATCACAACACAGCAGAGCATACGGTAGCTGAATGACCAAATTGTATTGAGAGCCGTTAGTATTTGGAACGCAGATTCTAATGTGATACTGCAGAAGTCAGTATGTCTCAATGTAAACATTTAACATAGTCATCTACTGAAAGGCTAATGCTGGTAGCTAATGATGTCTGACTTAAGCTAAAGCTATTGTAATAATACTTCAAACCTCTGTTCCTGCTAGTAATTGAAAGTATGATCAGGTACAAGCTATAACCAGGATCCATCCACCAGTAGCACAAAGGCATTTTAGAAGCATGTGCTACAGAGAAAGAAGCAAACTGTTACTTGCCATTGCAGAATCAACTACAAAACATGGTGAGCAGAACTACGTCAATCAGCCTGCAAGCCAGTTAATTTAGAGAAATTTAGAAGGTAAAGGTATACTGTTTAGAAGAAAAAAAAGGTTAACTGTACTTGTGAACTTCTCTGCAGTGAACTTCAATCTAGACCAGATGTCACAATGCTGCAACAGAATATGGCAGCCCCTCTGTGATACTAACTTATAGCTGATCCATTAACTGCAAGAAAAAGAATTGCCATGCTGTGTTTGGTGACAACTGTAAAAAGAACCACCATACCTACTATGCGAGCACCTCACAGTCTTTTTGAGAGGAATTGTCTTTCTATGCTTTCCAAAAGATAGGAAATCTCTCAGGTTTTCATCAAGCCTGTCCAGATTGTAGCAGTCCACACAAACTGTTTTCTGTATTTGCCACATTTTCTGGCAAAACCATATTCCAGAGATAAGGAATTTGAGTATTCCAGATGCTTTAGGACTAATGATCAGGTGACATCAAAGCACAAAATTAGTGGCATTAAAAAATACAGTGAATATACTGCACCTCTATAAAAACTTGTCTCTTATCTCTGAACTTTTCAGGACAGCAGGGCTGCTTACCAAACGTAGACAGGTAGCACTGACAGCAGAACATTATAATTTCAATGCTGAAGACAAGTTCACTTACCAACAAACTTCAATTTACACAAACTATCAACATGCAAGAAAACGCTACAGACTCTATTGAAAGGAATAGTGATGCATCTATTGTACTTGTACCTCAGCTACATAGATATACTCAATTCCATTAGAAGATTGTCATAACATTCATCAGAGATTTTTTCATATACAAAAAAACAGATGGATCACATAAGGCCTCGTTACTGATGAAAGATGAGGTTATTTTTCTGTTCAGCTTGAAAAAAAAAAAATACACATTGTCCCTTCATCTTATAGTCACTGTGATTAATTAATGCATTATTCTAATTTGAATTACTATGACATTCAGAGTTGGAAGGGAGCAAATTACTCTAGCTCCATCATAAGGGAGACTGGTGAAGTGTAACCTCCCTAACGGCTCTGCAAAACACTACTGATAATAATACTCTATCTTCAGTGCTCAGAATGCTACAATAACCATGGCACTTAGTTTACAGCCTATCCTGCATTTGTGACTCCTGAGTGAGTCAGAATGTCAGAGACAAAGCTGACAATGTGACAATCCATTATTTTTCTTTGGAAGGCCTCAACTGCTGGTTATCCTGAAGTCAGCTGACTGCTGGCTAACCCAGTTGCATAGATAGATAGATAGATTGCTTACTGCCATCCAAAATTGGTGGTAAGGAAGAAAAAGGAAGAAAAAAAAAAAAAACAACCAACCTTGTGCATGCGTACTCCATGCTAATACTCATGTACCAGAGACAGAAAAGAGGAGAGTAAATCTTGTAAATTCTGTCTGGACAACTCCAGGAGATCTTTCACTTCCTTAAATACCCTGCTACTCATCTGCAACAATTAGTCTGCAAGGCAGTAGCCTGCAAATTCAGTGGGATAGATTCTGATGTTCTGTTGAGAGCCACAAAAGAAGTTTGGGCTGGAGATGGTGTGTTATATTTGTTGCTTGCTGGAGGGTTCTGCTCAGGGTTAGCAGGGAAGACAAAATGAAACCGCCAACTACCTGTAATGGCAGACAGTGTATGAGGAACTGGTCATGTTAGGCCTTCTCATTTGTATTTATGTTTCCGGCTTAAGTTCTGCTTCATAAGAGCTGGTCTTGAAATATGAGATTAGATGTGGGCTGCAGAAGACAGGTGGAGGTATTTTCGCTTGATTTTCAGTCTTGGCAAAGAATTTCTAAGACAGAGAAACCAGCTGGAGTCACTATGGAGGCTACTTTCAACTTAAACAGGGTTTGTATCTAGAATATAAAGACCTCTCAGAAGCAAAGGATGGGATGGAGGGAGGACACCCATCAACATTTCTGACTTTTGCTAATACTGGCTTGGAAGCATGGTGGGCAGTCACTGTTCATGGTATGGGTGATGGGACCAGCCTCCAGCAGACAACCGAGGAAAGTTTGTGATGCAGAATGGCAGTACCAGATGTAGGAGATAACAGCTAAGTGTTAACAGCAATGATAAGAACTGGCTGAAATGTCAGGAGTTCATGCGTTTCCCTCTGAAAGTCCGCTGGACCTTAAGATGATAATAAGGTTTATCTTTCCATATGAAGGGTCCTCTAGCTTGTTCTATCTCACTAGAAAAGTATGGCAGACAACAATGATACAGACTGGGAAGAAGCAGAAGGCTTTATGGTACAGCAAAGGGAATCCTAAGGTTTTGTAACAGACGTCAACTGAATGATATGCCTGACATTTCAACAGCAGGAAGAAACCTCTCATGAAAGCCTGCCTGAATGTATTCGGCCAAGATTGTGACTTCTGGTCAACACTGTTGATAAAGATGTTCCTCCTGCGGTATTTCTTGTCCCTCCTATCTGGAGGTCTTCAGAAACAGGTGTGAACAGACTGATATTTTTGAAGACAGACTGCTCTAATCTGTTACATGCAAGTAGCAACTGTCTCAGGACAAGGCCACAGCATTAGTGAAAGGAAATTAAGGGAATGTGCAGATCTCCAGGAGACACTGCTCGAGGGATATTGCATTTCTCCCAGGAGCTTTGATCAAAATTCCAAAATTCACTCCTTAGAGAAGTTTAGTAGACTTCCTAGAGAGTTAAGGACTCCTCGACTTGAGGCCTAACTGCTTAGGGAACAGCCAGTGAAGTCATACTATAAGAAAAATATTTTCAACATACATGCTGACAGAAACTACTACGAGTTCATGTACTATTTTGAATATTCAGGAAAATAAGAATCGTGTGTCAAGAGTAAACATGCAAAAAGCCTAGCCTAAAGGCTACAGCTCAATAACCTGATCAGGGCCATGGTATGGATCCGAGCACTGCCATGCTATTATCCTCAGCAGTAGATTGTTAGCTAGCATGTTCCCTGTCACTGCCTTAGCCTGTATCAACCAGCAAGTGCCCAGAAACAGCTTGGGGATCTACAGATTGGAAAAAATGTCTCCCATTTCAGTAGGAGAAACAGCTGATAGTCTCCCACATTTTAGACAAGCTGTTCTGAACATAGTTCACAAAATTCTTTATGTAGTCCATCTGTGGACTGAACAAAGCTCTCCAGAAATTTCAACAGCCAAGTATGCCCTAGAAAATGTCAGCGTGACTGTGGCCTGAATGCCCATGAGCTTCAGACCCACCAGCAGCAGGCATGTGTGGGCTGCAACCCCTATGAAGTCAAACACACTGAAAAGGTTGCTGCAAGGCTCCAGGGAAAAAGGAAATATTTCCTTCTTAGTGATTATCTCCTCCAAATACGCACACGGAGTACTACAGCTGTGAGGACTGCCAAGCATTTAAATTCAATAGTAAGGCAGAAACAGGGAGAGATTTTGTTAAACTTCAGTAAGTCTCCTTCTGGAAAAGTACGTACCAATACTGAAAAATTAAGGGCATATGAATGACTATCTATCATTCTCAGATTGGAAGCAGAAAGAATGAACCAGGTCTTCACAAAATACGGACATTCTGCAGACAAAAACATGTGAGATAGGTGGTTCCCATCTTTTACTTACAAATCAGAAAGTCCTCTACTCTCAAAGGAACTTTTTCCCACTGTGACGCTGCATGTGGGTTGACCTTGTGGCTGACAAATTTAATGGAAGATATGACAAAGGAATAAAGCTTGGCTCCTTGTAAAAGTCATAAGTTTGGAGAGAATTATCAACAGAAAACCTGTATTACATGTTAGCAAGAAAGGCATCCTAATAAAACAAGTAAACTCAGCATGCTATCTAGTGACTGAAAATAAGGTTCTGTTTTACCCACAAATAGAATGGATTACTTGTCCTTTGGAAAAGTTATTTGCAGCAAGCTGTCAACTTGAGCCTCTCAGTGAGATAAGAAAGATGAAGCTCTTCAATACTGATTCAATTAAAAAAAAAAAAAAAAAAAAGATAAAACAGGGTGTCAGCCAGGATCATACTTTTTGAATCAGCAAAGTACATCTGATGAAGCACAGATTTTGTTTAAAAAGCCTTGGGGGAAGCAAGGTTTGAACCTGTTTGAAAGAGTGGGGGACTTAACAGTAAATGAAGCTAGAGTTGGATTGCTTTTCCAGCAATTCCGCAAAGTTAATTCTAGTTAGGTCTAGATAGGTCAACAGGTTTGCAGCAGACAGATGACACTGCAGGGCCCCAAAGAATCATACTGGATCTAAAAGGAAACTTTTCCTAAGTAGAACAGAAAACAAAAGGAGTTTTGGTAAAAGAGGTGCATTAATTATCTTAGTACCATGTCCAGGCATCAAGAAATGCTTGTATGGAAAAATAAAAAATTGATACAACAGCTTTGAAAGAAGAATTCCAATGTCCCCCCCAACAGCTACCACCAGATGCGCAATGGATACAAAGTATGTTAACATAAAAGATCTTATCAGAGTTTGGTGA